TTTTTTCGACCCTCACTTTAAATCAGTTTTCCATATGGCAGAGACAGATGGAGGGGTCTGAATAAGTCCCTCAGTTATACAGACATCAGCCTTTTTGATGCTTCACTGACTCATACCATTTCTCAACGAATTACGTAGTTCAGGTTTTTCTGGAGCAGCTGTATGAAGACATTAAGCTAAATATACTGACAGTTGCATATGAATCCATTACACAAAATGGACATAAAGCTGCAGACGTTGACTGAGGAGCAAATAAAAAATAGCATTTAACATCTTGAGAATAATTGAGAACAGGGATTATTCTGTTTGCCAAGTAGATCCTAAACCTGACATTAAGAGTCTCCATCACATAAAACACTGCTATAAATATGCAAGAAACTAAATATTAATTTAGTTCACTTAGCATAAAATAGTTAATGTTTTTACATGATACATCTGAATGCACACCGTAAAAAATATTTTAATGTCCCTCTTGTGAACTGCCCACTGCGGTTTCAGATCTGAAATTCCATAGAAACATACAAGTCAAAGAAAAAAATATTACCTCAAACTTGAAAAAGACAATGTAGTGCATGGTGAATAATAACCCCAAAGCTTCAATTATCATATTGACCTCAGCGTCCCCTGCGTGCCACACTTTCATAGCATAAACTCTTAAACAGGCAGACTTGGGCCTGTAAAATCTAGCTGCGCTGCGTGAAAAAGACAAGAGAAATTCAAACTGTAGACTTTATTTCAGGAAGTGGGAAGCAGAGTAAAATTAAGCATCATTTATCTTAGAGGAATGTAAATTTTTCTAGTCTGGTGTAAGGAATGTAAGACTGGCGTGCAGGAGGAAATAATTAAACTCAAAGTGCATGTGTACACAAACATATCAAGTTTTATTGTCTTTAAGCTCAGAAATTAAATAGCATCATCATGAAGTCCTTCTACCTTGGAAGTAAAGGTTTTTAAAGAAATTTTAAAAAATCAAAAAAATAACTATTCATCTATAAAGAGCTATAAGAGGGATCTGTTTACATTTCCACGTGAATAGAGGACTTCTGAAATTTAACACACACTTACACATGAACTCTTAATCAGTGTGGAACAAGAGCCGCTTAGCCCTGTGGGTCCTTCAGGACCACGTGTGTGTACAGAAACTGACTGCAGTCCATCCCCCGCTCCACTGAAGTGCTGCTACCTTGTTCCACAGCTGAAGTTTCTCTTCTGCTGTCTGGCAGACTGTAAAGTGTACTGAGCCATTGTAAATATACTGTAAAATGAGTTCCCTTCCAGTCTTCGAGAAAATCAATGTTGTTAAAGACAAAGTAACCCTTCTTAAAAAGGTAAAAAGAAAAATTTTAAATCAGTGCACAAAAAGAGACCAAAACAGGACAGTGTGTGGTTTGAATCAGCATGGAAAGTTCATTTAAATTTTTACATCATAAATATGAAATAGAAATAATATGTAATATGGGCAGAACACAAACTTGAATCTATGCATCCCCAATAAAACACCAGGTCTTTCCATCTTTAATGAACTCGATAACCACTACAAAACCAACACTTTAAGAGAGAAAAAACTTAAATTAAGAATCTGCAAATTTGACTCCATGCCTCTCCAAAACTGCTGAAAAAAATAGGAAGAAAACTGTTCAGAAAGGATACAGAGAACATCTACTTTAAAGTTCTACAGCAACTTTAAAGTAGATGGAGGAATTTCTGGAAACTGACAACAGTTTCTTACGCTTCACATGCCTGGGCTATGGGGTTGTCCCCTCCATGTTTTACAGTAGGCATGCCTTTTCCACTATCTGGACCATCAGATATAAATTGAGCAATTTCTTCAAACCGATTCAGCTTTCAATAGAGAAAAAGTAATATTTCACTGACCTTCGAGGAAAGAATACAATCATTTGACCATGTCGATTATTAAGGTGGAAAAACCTTTAAAATTAAATTTGAGCTATTATCCAACAGTATTTCACGATACTCCACAAATCTCAGATAAATATGGATTATTATTGTGATATAATGAGATACTTTCAAAAACAAAAAAAATACAGCTGAATGAAGACTGAAGTACCTCATTTATGCAAATTCAAAATATCTAGTGCACACTATGGCTCTTTTTGTCACTGTTTGAATGACGCAGCGAGGAACATTAACATGAAAGCGGGCTACGTCTGAATGACTGAATACAACCGCTTTACCAGATTGATGAAGCCATTAATGTTCATGTCTGAGCAGGACCTAATAGTCTTTCTCACAGCCACACACATACACACTCGAGGCGTACTAACGACTAAATAAAAAATGCACGTTTTATTTATCTAATTTATTCAAGCTGTGACCACTGGGTAAGTACCCATTATATTTCAATTTCAAAAAGGAAATTTCTCTTCCAGGTTGCCCCACAACAGTCAGTAAACATCACATTTAGCCACTCATTTTCAGGAAAATAGGCTTTAAAGGTCTAAATTTAAAAGTATGCATGGATAACAGAAGGATAGAGTCCAAGACGGACGTTCAACCAATCGACAGAGACAGTCCAAAAATATAATATTGCTGTTAAAATGCAACTCTCAAGCAAATTTGTAATATTTGCAAAAAGCAAAAAGATGATGAAAAAGATCAAACTGAGAAGTCTGTCATTGTAGACAGTGTTTAACAGTGTAGCTTTGAAGACAAAGGCTCTCATATTGCCAAACGAGATGAATTGTCATGATTGATAAGCTTTAGTTCACATGCTGGTTTGTTATTTATGAACAACCAAAAAACACCTGCTGTTTGGCAAGCTGATAAATTGCCCTTAGTTACAGCTCTGAAACTAAGTAATTCACCGAAGTGTTTGTTCTTCATTTTAATTGGGAGACAGCTGCGCTATGATTTATGGCCTCCTAAAAAATTAATTTCTTTGCCCATTAGATCAACAATAATTGGAAAGTGATCACCAGTCTCAGAACAGAGACAGAGAGTATCATTCTAAAGCTTATCTTTACAGTGGATCGTAACGGCTAACAGTAAATCTTTCCTAATACATGTGGAAGGAGCGCAACTGTCCCTAACACTTCACAAAACCACAGCATACTTTGCAAAATAATATAAATTGTGACTGGGTCTGACGCCATAAGGACCTTCATATTACTCTTCATCTAACATCCTGTCCAACCCTGTCTGAACGGCAGTTATTGAAGAAATACATTGTGGCATTTTAAAAATTTCTCTTTGTGCAAGTTGTACGAGTGCAAGCTTGTGCAATATTCATCAAACCAGGACATATTAACATGTTATCTGGTGTTTATAAAGTCTTAAATAAAGATTAAGTATAGGCAGAGAGGTTTCCATACAATCCTGTGTTAAAGCATACTTTGCAGTAATTAGCATCTTTATGACCATTTTAGTACAGGCATAAATTGCGAAAACAACTGATGCAGTTTTCCGGGTAGAGGCATAACCATCATCTCAGAAGTGGGGGTGGGGGACACATTTATCAGAGGTCCATTGAGTGATTTGTCATCCTCTTACATTCACCTGCACCTCCCCTTAGTGGCTAAAAACATACATAATCACTAACAGCCACAGCTCAGCACCAGGAGACCAACTTTAGTTCTTTAAACTATCTAAAGCTTTAGCTGCCCTTTACCCTCGAACATCTTCAGGGGAAGAAACCAGATCATTAAGTGCCAAATGGCAACACTGAACATGAAATGTTCAGCAAAATATCATTTCTGCAAAGTATGATGTAAATTATTACTCTGCTCACAAAATGGAAAGGAATTGACAAGGTAACAGGGTAATAAGCCACATAATTTAATGTAATGGTATGAACACAGTAAGTGAAATAAATAAATATAAACTACACATGGCGTTCTCTATCTGCTAAGTCCGATAGAAATATTTTGGCATATGAATGAGCATAATTCTGAAATATCTGTAAAAACCCTGTCCTGACAACTGCCTGCTTTCTGCTTTCAATAAATATGTTTTTCTCAGCAAGTTAAAACCGCTCTTTACCTGTGAAAAGTCTGCATCACCATCCCTGCCGTTGGTCTCTGGTCTAATATGTTCCCACACAAATTTTTCTCTTTCTATTATGTCAATAAAGATTCATTTAAATATGTGGAAAGCAACACTGAGCACTTCTCTAGAACAGGTTTCCCTCATTTGGTTCAGGTTGGTGGTTGCCAGGACAGCAAATAAAACTGGTAATTTTCCATTTGTTAAACACAGCTAAACTGAAAACTCACACTTTTTCAGTAATCAGTGAACACGCCAATACCAGTTTATCCTTTGAGGCACTTTATTTCAAAGTTATGGGACCATATAATCCCTTTTATTTAAGTAGGATTGAAAACTATGTGATACTGACTCCTTAACAGAATCAGCACATTTTTAACACCTAATGTGTGTTACATTCAACTGCTGAATTAAAGCAAAGCTTAAATGAGTTCCACTCTGTTATTTTCCATTGAAAGACAATTATGTTAAATTCTACAATACCGCTGTTGAATATTGGAATAACTATGTGGCTCAGGACATGGCATCCTCCAGTTTCAACTAAGTGTTATAAGCTAGAAAATATTCTATTAGTATTAAAGCACAAAAGTGCTTTAATACTTTTTAGCGATCATCAAATGCACTCCCTTCATTAAAACCACTTTACATGTCCAAAGAGGTAATGGTTCATTTTTCATATGTGCATGTCTAATCAAATCTGTTTCTCTTACCATAACTATGAGCAGGATCTCAAACTTCTGCTTTTACACAGTCTTTCCTATTTTATGGGCTATAATACAAAAGGACTGAACTGTTGACTTTGTGGAATGGTCTCAAACCTTTATGAAACAACTCAGAGAGAAATTCTACCTCTACTTTTATTTTGTAACATTTTTGTTGAAAAGGTTACTTTATAAGTGCTTCCTACACTAGAAAAATAAATTATATCAAAGGGATCCACAGTAGGTTGAGTTCTAAAATACAGAAAAACATATTTTGAAGAGATAAGATAAACTCACCATTGAGGAACAGCTCCTCCTGCATTGCTTGTCTGGCAGCATCAGAAAAACAGCGTTTCTTCAGCCACTCTGCATCAAACACACTCGTGTGCTGGTCGGGCCACGCAATGGAAACCTGAGGAAACATAACTACATACTGATTCTCATCAAAACGTTCCTGTTTTCCACTCTTTGCATTTTGATGTCGAAACATGTTAACAAAGAAAGCACTGCTTCTTTAACAAATTAACAGTTTTTGACTCCCCACTGAAGGTTTTCTTTCCTTAATATCAAATTTTTGAAATTTACAAAAATGGTTTAATCCACAAGTGGCGAAACATATTGAAAGACATATCTTTTATTATGATGATGTACTTTGACTATTTTCAACTAAAATGCATTTAAAGGCCCTTAATGAAGTCAGAGTTTTAGTACTGTATTTTTACATAACTTAAAGTAAGAATGACCTTTTCAAGGAATTCAAAAACAGTGCAAACAGAAAGTTTTACAGGGGTTATTTTAGTCAATTTACATAACAAAGGCAAAAAACATCTGAGGATGACTCTCCTGGATGGTTGGAACAGTCAAAACTGAATCTGCTTAAAGCTGTGTCCCACTTTAGGAGCCGAATCCTTAGGGAGAAGCAGGCAGCTCAGATGTGATTCTATTGGAGGACCTAAGGTTCATGGCAATCCTACCAAAATTAGATCATCTCCCTTTTTGACCTCAACACTTCATCATAAGGCAGCTGCACTCAGAGGTCAGTCATTCTGATCCTGACAAAGACTTTTTCTAGTACCTGTGCACAAAGTTGTGAGCATATAATTTAACACACTTCATTAGTAGAAATACAAAAGCAAATAATAATCTTTATATAATTTAATTTCATAAGGACAACTGCACAAATTTAGAGGCAAAAGGTTCGACCACCAAAAATCATCAACCAATCTATACTGCCTAGTCAAAAAAACAAATCATAAGCTTCTGCATGGAAGATATACTTCAATACAAAGTTGTTTTACTTTTTCACCAAGATCTTATATTGATGATGGGAGAGTCTGATCCAGACCATCATAGGGTACATGTAAACTCATCACCACCTGACCATCTTCCATTGCTCAGAGTCCAATTGTTATGGTACCTTGCAAATTAAAGCATTTGTCCTTGGTTTACCTCACTGATTAGAGGTTTTCTTATGGCTACACAGTATTTCAGCCTCAAACCTTTGAACTCCCTTTGCTTTGTGTGCGTGGAAATACTCTTATTTTTAGAATTAAATAAAGTCCTGAGTTCCACTGTTGTTGTTTTTTTATCAATTTGATTTTAAATGTTTAAGTGATCTCCAACCACAATCATTGTTTGGTTTTATTCTGACCACTTTAATTCCTCCAAATTTATGGTTTCCCTCTTTCCTTCCAGTTTTTATTAATTTGTTGCAGAGTTCTTAACCAAAGTTTTATAGTTTCTGCAGTATGCTTAGATGTTTTTTTCAGCTTGATCCATGCCAATGATTTGTTCCTTCTTAAACAGACTAGCATCTTTTCCACAACCGCAGCATGTATGTCTCAGCATGGTTGTTAAGAAGTGAGGAGAAGCCTTGGTTGGGGAGAAGTAACTGGAAGATAATCATCCAGTAACAAACCAATTGGAGGCTTGTACATATTTGCTCAATTAAATCCAGGTGGTGACTTTTTCTTTTGCCAGACAGGGTTATATCACATGTGCAGCCACTTTCTCATTTACTACAAATACTACAAATAAGTATAAAATATTATATCTGCAGAAATTAAAATTTCTTGTTCATTGGTACTTGTTCATTGTTGACTTTGTCGGCTAAGAACAAAGTCAACAATGAACAAAAACAGTGCTGTTTGCGTCTTGCAAATAGCTGAACTGCTAAACTGTAAAACCTTTTGAAACTGTACCCCAAAATCAAAGGAACACAAGATCCGATTTACTCAATACTGGGCTGACATCACACAATGTAAAGAGTTTAAGACTAAGAAAAAAATGTTTTTCCGACATAAAATATTGGAAAGAGTAATCAACCATAGTAAATAGGTGAGATTAAGGTAACTAACCTTTCCATCTTTGGTAACCTCCACAGAATCCATTCCTATGTGGATATCAAGATCAGCCATCAACAGCAAACGGGCCTCAGCTGACTGCAGGGTGCAGCGTGAACACTGGCAGTTGTCTCTCAGCCAGGTGAACGGGTACAAGCTTTGGCCTCCATCTTCCCATTCCACCGCCATCAGCCTCTCCTCATGCAGAGCACGGACATGTCTCATTGAGTGAGCAGCCACAGGCATGGGGGCAGAACCAAGGGTTTGATGTCTGCGAATATGTACTGGAGTCATGCAGAAACTTGGTGCAAGCAGTTCCATCCTACGACAAGCTTTCATTGCTTTGCAAAGGACTGGAGAGGGGCTCCTTTGAAAGATGGGACGAGCAAAACGTGCAAGTGTACTCATCCACATTTCCAAAGCTTTATCACCAGTGCTAAAAAAGTGTAGAAGGAGAAAGAAATTATGAGCTTAGTGAGCTGGGTTAGACTTGCATCCAGACCGGCTTGATTGTCTTATGAGCTCTCATAATTGTGCACAATGCATGAATAAACCTGACTGAGTGGTTCTACCTGAACAGTGCTTGGAAATAGTTTTTTTTTTCACGACACGCAGGAATTAGACTTTTGTTTATATTTCAAACCATCAAAACTACAGCTCTCATTTCTATGCTGTTTCAAAGTGGGTTTTTCTAGAGTCGGAAACAGTTGTTGCTTAGACATAAAGATGTAAGCCATTATACCGCACGTCACTCGGTGTTTGACAGCAAACACACAGCATATATCGTAGAGTTCACCGACATTAAAGTTGAAAACAGCCTCACAAGAAATCCCATCTATAGCCTCCAGCTGCTGGCTTTAAAGACTGAGCTATCAACAAGGCTGTTAGCATGAAGCCTGTTTTTAAAGCTTACATCCGGAATCCAGTTTAAAGAGATACAAGCGAAACAAACACTCCCTCTCTTTTCCCTGTGGGCTTATTTACCAACTTCCGCTAAGGTTTATGAATGAAAGCGGCGCTGACAAATAAACAGTCAAACGCGAAAATTGTCGCTAATAACAAACGTTACCTGTATTTTGTAAACGCCGACCGTTTGTTGTGTTTAGCAGCGCAGCAGCTGTTAGCTTGAGAGGGGAAGTAGGTGAAAGGTCGGCCGTGCCTGCCTGTCTGGACAGGGACCAGTCATAGCATGTGTGTAAACTTTGCTCTACTTTCTATTCTCAGATATGCATCTAGCTGATAAACCAACCACCCTGCCTTCACACTGAAACTATATATTAAACAATATTCATTTCATCACATAGGGTAGCTTCAAAGAACCAAAGTAAGGTTTTAATTTCAAATACATGATCCTAATCAGCAAATTCTTGCCATCTTCTCTATAACTATTTAACTAAGCTTAGCTAGGGTAACTAGTTCTGTCTTTTAATCTTGATTCATAAAAAAGGACCTGTATGTAACCTGTAGCATCAACTCTACCTATGTTAATTGAAAGAATAGCAGATAAAGTCATTTTTTGGCATGACCAGACAGAAGCCATGCAAAGTTCATGGGGAAAGATAGCAGGCTGGGATTTGAATCCAGGACCTTCTTGTTGCAAGGCAACGGTGCTAACTGTAACTTATCAGAAATCTCAGAGCTCGCTGGACAAATGTTGGGAATCATCTTCGCTGTGAGACAGATTGAGGAAGTCTTTACCCCAAGAGGTTAGTTTTTTCTAATTATAATTGCAGTACATTGTAAAAGTATTAAACCCCATTTTACTCTTTAAAAATTAGGAGCAAAGATTTTCCCTCTAAAGATGCCTAGCTGACTGACTCTCAAATGATAGTATTTTAAGGAATTCCAAGGAGCACTTTTTTTACAGTGTTGAAAAATAGTACCCAAGCAAAAATTTGTAGATTGTTCAGTTTCGTTGCTCTTTATTGGCTCTAGCAGCCTTCATTTGAGAGTTATTAGGCACGAAGTTTGGTAATGACAGAGGGGGAAGACATGGGACAAGGTTCATCAGACCGGTACTTGAGCCTGTAACTGCCACGTCAAGGACTTGGGCCTTCATGTAAGGACTGTGCTTTACCTCCGAGCTGCCACAGCAACCCCTAGTTTTACTATTCTAAAATGAAAATGTAAAGCATTAATAATCAAAGTCAAGATGGTTTGTCCATGCCACCTGACAGTGAATTTTGTGTGAAAAGAAACACCCTTCTGTTACATGAAAGAGGAAGCTGTGGCGGTATTTCTTCCATTTGCCTTCTGATGTTTATGTTAGACCCCCGTTTCTGCAATGCCTGTGGCTGAAACAAAGCAAAGAAACAGGCTGAATCTGGAGAAGGGCTTGGCTACACATTTGCCTTATTGCCACTAAGAGGCTGTAGTAATCTGATTAACATCAGTCTGCTAGTGCTGTCAATAGGTTGTTAATGTTGAGGCTGCAACATTTTTTGCATAGTTTTATTAAGTTTGAACAATGTTGAGTAGAAATTATATTTAATGTTCATAAGAATTCATTTAACATTTTGGATTAAACTAAAATATCTCACAATAATACATGAATGCTAAAACTCATACGCATGGACATTAAATATGAACTTTTAAATATTCAGTCTTACCATGGGGTACAACTATGGCCTTCATGTAAGGAACAAAGTCTCAACTTTGTTCCCCATAAATACCAGTATTTTTCCCTTGTTTTTCTGAAGGTGCGGGGATAATTTGTTCCAGTGACTGCAACAGCACGATTGTTTATCTAAATGGTATAGGCTCACATCCGAGCTTTAAAACCATCCTTTTCCAATAATTAACCCAGGGTAACAGATAGCTGTTAGAATCATTATGGAGCGGAGATAATTTTCAAAGGCTTAGTAATGGTTGCCACACACTCACCTTGCAGCATAAAGGTGTGTTGAATAACGGATGTGGAGTCATTGGGTTGAAGTGTAATTTCTGCTAAGGGCATTGACATAATAAAAATGTACTGCCTTAAGCTCCTGCAAAATTAAATAAGTTTAATCTGTAAAATAGCAACAAAATATTATTTGCAATAATTTTAGTGAAACCATGGATGAATGCACCTACATCAACAATTTTTAGTTATTTCCTGTAAATGTAATTTAACTTAACACAAAACCTTCACAAAATAATTTATCTGAGCAAAGCAAATTTTGCCCTCTCATGATAAATGCTAACTTATATATATAGTATTATTATCAAAATTGTTTATATAAATTTAAGCAGCATCTTCACTTTGGAATAAAGCTAATTGTTTTGTGGTATTTCTTAAAGATGTCTGTTAGATATATGACTTTTCCACTACATGGTACCCATTGTCTATTTAAACTTTAATAAGAAAACTAGTGTCTTCCCCTTGCTGCAGAGACATACAAATCAGGTTAAAGGTTCCTCAGCTGGATTTTACATGCTTTGTGTAATCAGTTGGCACAAAGTCTTTGTGAGCGAAAATGAACAGTTACATAATTTACAACCTCTGGTATTTAACGTTATGTAGTCATGACATTTTAATTCCTTTGCCTCAAAGTGTCAGAGTGTTTATGCAACATTATCTGTGACCTTCAAAGACTGAACCATGGTTAAAATAAACAAACAAATAGTAGTTTGCAGCTCACTGGATGAGAACAAACAGGCTGTTTGTAAGGCCGACCGCAGCACCTAAAACACGCACCCTTACAACTTTGTTCCCCATAAATACCAGTAAGCAGCATCTCTCTTCAAAGCACGTGTAATTAGGCCAGTGCCTGAGAATATAATTCTTAGCAGACCTCAAAATGTTTTAAGCAAACATGCTAGGAACTTTCTCATTTTCAACCATGTGGCAATATTTTGTATACTATAAATTATGTGTGTGTCACAGCAACATCACAGGGTCCCCCATGTGCCACAGGACCTCACTGGTAAGGCTTAATAAAAATCTTGCGTATCATAGTGACATTACAAACTAAAGGATAAAAATAAGAATGCTGGGAAAAATGCTTTGATTCATGTTGCAACTCAGCAGTTTGTTATACTTAATTACTTTATTTTAAAAGTCACAATACAGTCGATTAAGTATGTTGTCATACAGATTATTCCTTAAACTCAAAAGTACATGAGTGCTGCCTGCAGTCTTGTCTGTCAAAGTATTACACCAAAAACATAAACATAGATATGTCTTCCTTGAGTTGAAAAAGAAATACATAAACACTAGTACAGATTAAGGTATTCTGTTATAAAGGTACTCACAGTATTTACTTTTAAAAATAACCTGTATATTTTACAAGACTACACTCCTTGTACAAAACAGCATAGCAAGGGGAACCCACTTTAAAACATAAGTCACAACTTCTAGCACTTAGACAGTAAAAATTGTGCAACGTTTGCAAGCCAATAAAACAAAGCCAGAGAAAATTACAACTGATGCTTCAATGCATATGTAAACATTCTTTGATTTTCTCAGAAAAACATTCTTCAAGAGGATCAAAAGACACAAATATCATTTCTTTTTATAGGATCTTTCACCCTGACTTTGGTCAGCTATTTTGCTGCTAAATAGATTATTGAAAGGCAAAACCAAAGCAGGCACAAGGGATTTAGGACATAGTACAGACACGATAAACTGGGCAATGTGATTAGATTTTAATTCTATTCCTATATAAATCTGCAAAACATATCAAAAACTTACTTAAATCTCATGTTTTGAAAGTCAAAGCCTCTAGGTCTAATTCTATCCATCCATCCATCCATCCATCCATCCATCCATCCATCCATCCATCCATCCATCCATCCATCCATCCATCCATCCATCCATCCATCCATCCAGCCATCCATCCATCCAGCCAGCCAGCCAGCCAGCCAGCCAGCCAGCCAGCCAGCCAGCCAGCCAGCCAGCCAGCCAGCCAGCCAGCCAGCCAGCCATCCATCCATCCAGCCAGCCAGCTAACCAGCCAGCCAGCCAGCCAGCCAGCCAGCCAGCCAGCCAGCCAGCCAGCCAGCCAGCCAGCCAGCCAGCCAGCCAGCCAGCCAACCAGCCAGCCAGCCAGCCAGCCAGCTAGCCAGCCAACCAGACAGCTAACCAGCCAACCAGACAGCCAGCCAGCCAACCAGACAACCAGTCAGCCAACCAGACAGCCAGTCAGCCAGCATGACAATATTTGACAAATAGGGAATATACAAGGGAAATACAGCTACCCGTGTCTCATTTAGTGTTTACATTTTTTTGTGTGTGTGCAAACCATTAGCCAGTTTCAATTTAGATAATTAAAAATAAATGTTGTCAAATATGAGGATGTATCTTGTTTGTTTTGTCAGATAACTATTATTTATGATTTTCTAGGTACTTAAACTGACTTGCCAGGATATCTGGTAGTTTGATCCATTAAGACTTTTTCATGTGTCAGAAAAAGGAATTATATCCCCATTATGTCATTTACATATACTGTGGGGGGGGAAAAAATGATGGTGACGACTTCCTCACCATGATCGTGCACAAACAGCTTATGAAAATATGAATAATTCATTGTTCATTGTAGTTACAATCCAATTAAGTAAATAGATGTTTTTTCTCAATTTTCAATTACTCTTACCAAGAGATAGTTTAAAAGCTGTATGCCCAGATTGTTTTTTTTTTTTTATCTCTAAGAGTTTATTACTGTCAACAAAGTTACTAGTTACTTTGAAATTAATACTTTCTACCAATTTGTTTTTACTCACTGTGAAAATTATAACTGTCAGTCCTTTCAAGCTAGACTGGTTACTTACTCTCTATTGCAAATCTATTTACTTTTTAATAAAATAAAATAAAAAAACAATAAATTTGCTATTCCTAGATAATTGTAGCAAATTTACACAAAAACTATTTGTTACATTTGTTCTATAAATTGAAAGAGTTGGCTCTCTAAGACAGTGATCACTCTTTAAGGCCCCCTGCTGGCCTTTCAGCCCAAAGACGCTGATGTTTATTATAATGCATAATGACACTTTTTTGAATTGTGTGATATGTATATAATGGATGCCAGGCATGTATTTTATTTAGAAATAAGAAATGGAAGGACACCTTAAAAAATACTTGGATCAGATCATCCGTGAATGATCAATCTATTGAAATTTGAATGCACGAAACAGATGAATTATGTGGGATTAAGGCACCAAAAGTGGACTTAGCCCAAGGCCCCGCACTTTCCTAAATCCGGCCCTGGTCACGCTCCACAATTAAAAACAATATTTAAAGTGATGTTATGGGAAGTTTGAAGGGATTGTTTCCCTGTTAGAATTTGAGGTACTCGTTCTTCAGTCTGCTCAGTCTCGTTCCGTGGCTGCGGATGATCAGAGACAGCAACTCGTGTTTATCCTTCAGGCCCAGGGAAATGTCCAGGGTCTCCTTCAGGGCGTCCCGGGTGTGCACGATCATGGTGAGGAAGTCGTCACTGAGCCGGTGCTCCTCCTTCAGCTCGCTCTCCTGGCTCTGCTTGAACTTCACCTCCAGCTCCAGCAGAGATTTCTCTGAGTTTGTGAACGCCTCGCCGATCTGGGCCGTCTCCCTGCGCAGATACATGCCGTAGCTGTCCTCTCCGTCCAGGTCGTAGGAGATGCTCTTCCCGATCCCCTCCAGCACCCGCGCCGAGTCCTCGATCTGCCGCTTGATGAGGGTGAAGTCGTCCCTTATGACAGAGTCTTGGTCCTCGTCCAGACTGCACTTTCGCTCGTCGGTCATCTTAAAAAGCATTTGACACTGCTCTGGGTCGTCGTTGTCCTCATATTCGCCATCCGGGACAAAATAATGATGAAAAGTGCCATTAGACATCTCCGGATGTAATGGTCCCCGGTAAAAAGCTCCGCACGCTGGCTGTAACAACATCCAGACACTTAAGAGCAAGTGAACTAAAGCCATGATGCAAACTTGCTGCAGGGTGCAAAAAAAAAAAAAAAAAACAAAACAAAACAAAACAAAAAAAAAAACAGGATTTAAATACTTGCTAAAATGCACTTTTAAAGGCTATTTCATTTCAGCGCAAACACTGCAAACAGGTTCTAAACTGCGCAGATAGTTGAAGCTCGGCTGCAGTTTCAACGTCCGCCTCTCCAAACAAACCAAAAAAGTGGCGTGAAATTGTTTCGCGGCTTCTCTTTTTCGTTCTTCAACCCAGCTGGACAGCTTGCATCACCGCTGGCGAGCAGGAGAGCGAGGAGTGAAAAAGTTTTCCTCGGCGTGGCTTTAGTCCCGACTCTGCCTGGTGCCTCAAACGCAACATCTGGACGTCTCAAGTGCCGCGCTTCAGTTTTTGACTAATAATACCTCTGTGCTACTCTCAAATTACAGCCCCTCCGTCATTTTCAAAAGGCTGCATTCAGTCTGGTCCAGACTGCCACCGGGGCCGGCCCGTAAAAAAAAGCCTCACTCAAACCAGAACCAAGACCAAGTTTGTGTTAATTCGCACATCCGTTGCAAGTTGGCGTATATGGTTCAAGATTATTACACTCCTGAGAAATATAGAAGTGACCACATATAAACCTGAAATGGCCTTTTGTAAACCAGACCTGTAATTACAGTCTAGGCACACGCTTTTAAAAATGTTATACTTTTTTAATAGCAAATGACATTTGACTGAAATATTTACAGTGTGGTAAATCTTATTACATTAAAAATAAAAACAAATAAATCCCAAAGGTCACAGTATTGTCGGTATAAATAAAAGTATTAATTTATATTGCTAAATAACAGCACGCTGGATAATATTGTAATTTGCCTCTAAATGTTTGTGTGTAATTAATCTAAAAATAAATTAACTTGTAATTACCATAATTGATAACTTAATTTTTCAATATTGTTTTATGGTAAATCATAAAATAGTCATGAAATCATATTTGTGCAAACAGGATGGGTAGAGATGATGTCCAGTAGATTTCTCGTTGAGGGTGGAACTCATCAGCTGTTAATCTAGAAAAAGGATATATTTTTTTGTTATTGTGGAAGGACTTTGTTGTGTGCACTTTAATGACATCCTTAATGATTCTTGTTTGTTGAGGTTAGTCAAATATTGCAATGTTAATGTGTAAAACAGCTCAGTACCCAGAAGAAATTGTTTAATTTGAGTGTAATTTGGTGCAGAGGCAAATAAAAGATGGGTATGTAAATGATGCGGTTAACAACAAACTGGCCTGTTACAACGAGCAGCACAGATGCATAAGTAGTGGTGCAACAACACCAGGCTGGTACCAAAGCATCCTGCAGAAAGTCAAAATGATAAAGGTCATCAGAGGCAAAGGATGCATCAAGAATGGATCAGACATAAGATCTCTTAAAGATGATGAAATAGTCTTTCATTTAGAATGAGCAAAAATATGGTCACTATACTTCTCTCTTCAGATGTTTTATGTTTATTAGCATTAATTTACAAAACAATATTGTGACAGAACATAAGGTTTAAAACACTTACAGTTTAACTCAAGTGTAAGTTCTTATGTCATAAAAAGTAAGTGCAATGCATAAATGAATTATTAAGAAATAATACGTTAATAGTATAAAATATATTTGTTTACCTTTAGTATTCAGAATATATTAGGGCAGAAGTTAAAGTATGACCTGGTTTTATTAACTTTATAATGAATGAGTTTTTTTAAAGTACAAAAATGTTAGCTGTGCTTCTTTGTTAGAATCACATGTTAAAAAAAAGTAAAACTTTATGAGCTTTAGAAACAGTTCTGTTTTTTTTTTTTTGTCTCAGTGACGATGCATTTTCTGGTAAATCCAAGAGGATTACTCAGACATTTATTTAGCTTAAGAAAGGTTTCTTCTGTCCTAAAAGGGAACACATAATGTCCCAGTTTATCACAAACATTCAAACATGTGTGGATAATTGGAAGGGCATTACATTTTGACATCTACAGATAAAATATTACGAGAGCTGTCTCTCAAATGTTGTGTGCCCAGAGTAAAGCGTTTGTCTCTGTGAAAATCCGGGACAGCTGTGGCTCAGAAGAGCTGTCTAGAAATTTCAAGGTTTCTAGACACCAATTTTTGATTGCACAACTTAGTGATTTGACCTCATGAAAAGCTGCTGAAATTAGAATTTTTATGTTCATTATTTAGTGAAATGTCATCAGCTACTGCTGGGAAGAGTTCTGTATGTCTGTGTAATTTGTTAGCAATGTAATAGGACGTCAAGTTTAGTTCAAAAGAAGCAAAAATACACAACTCAGTGAATGATGCAAACTTCAAATGTATACAGGCTAGACCTGTAATATATTTAAATATTTACTTCTCTATTCCCAAAGCTACTAATTTGGGTGCAACAGAAATACAATGAGAAATGTTTTTGTACTTAAAAATTCTGCCAGTAAAGTTAAAAGTCTGAAATCGAAACCAATTTAACAACAGGGTCAATCATGTACTAGAGAAAAATGTCCTAAAGAAAGAACTGCTTAGATTTTTAACATGATGAGTTCATGCACTAACATACTAAGAGTGATCTAATGTCTAAGACCCACAGTGTCACAGAGTGTGTGCATGTTTTTCCTGAGGAAACAGCAGACATCATTAGATCGCCTACCCCTGCTGAGGAGTACTGCTCTCATTCTTTCCACTGCAGGGGTGATTATTCAGAGTTTTGACATGCAGGAGTTAGGTTTAAGAAGAAAGACTTTCACATGGTAAGCATATGGTTATAATCTTTGGAAATACCTAATTCTACCCCTTTCCCATACCAAAATAGTATTTTTTTGTTTGAAGTTTTAACAAGAGGAAATTATCTGAAAATAACTTGATCTATTAATCACTTTTTGGAAAGTGGTTGATATTGTTGTTCAGGGAACATCAACAGAATGAAGAAACCATAGTGATATAAAAATTTTGTTTTTTTATCACAGTATTTCAACAAAATATATAGTTTTTGCATTGTGAAAATCAGAAGGAATCTAATGATAAGTTAATGTATTGCCAGAATAGTTGTAGATACAGAGTTACTGGTAATAAGGTGATTTATTGGCTTTTGTGAACACTGTGCTGAATAACAGGCTTTTAACGGCTTTCTTTTTGCATTCTAAAACATTTTCATCCAGTTAGATGAGCTTTTGCAAGATGGAGACCTCGTCTGCATCATATATTTGAGTCAGAATATGACAATAATGAAATATGAGCCATAACAGATGCTACTGAGTGTCATCACACCTTAAACTTTTATTGCTTTCTCCACTTATTTTGTCACATGTAAACATAAAATTAAGCTGCTCTAGCTTCTACCACTAGAACACCAGCCATACAAATTGACTGCTTCATTGTGCACATTTTGTGACTCATGCAAATCTGGTGGTTAATCTCAAAAATCATGTTCTGTGTGCAATTATGTTGAAACTAGCTTGTTCGACTGGACTAACACTGATATTTCTGTATGTCGATCATTCTTTGCTGTCATAACAGATGATGTGGTTGTTTGCAGCTGTCTGTAGGAAATATAATTGGTGGTTCAACATAAAACTTGTCTATTGCAGCTTGCCTTCATCTTCTTCATGAACTGTTTCTGTGCATTTGCTTTTTGTGCAGGGCAATTATCCAAAACGTTAGTAGAGTTCTAAAATATAGTTCAGGGATTTTCTGCAGCTGTACAGAAAACAAATAAAACCTTCAAATGTGAATTAAAATTACATATAAAAGTGCAGATCACTGTGCTTTGTGTGTGGTTTTCTTGTTTGGATGTACACCAATTCAGGACATCTCTGAAACATATCCATGGAAAGCTGAATTAGGCTTTGTATTTGAACAAAGTAAGCCAGGAAAGAAGTCTTTGTGCCATCAAAGGGTAAAGTATATAAGTTAGCTTGGCTAACTTCCTTAAACTGCATATCTTTATGAGGCAATAAAACAAAAGGCAGAATGGCAATTACCCTAATAGGGGTATTAATTGATGTTTTTCAAAGGCCATTAAAGCAACCTAAGAGTCATCTGAGAATCATTTTCTCATTGGTCAAATAAGAATTTCTTCACATTTAGATTCCACAGTAAACTCCTTAACAGGTTTATGGATAAAAAGGGTTATATGCTGACTTGTTTATGCAATTGAAAGGCTGAAAATGTTTCCATAAGTTTTTATCTGTTTCCTATTTTAAATGAGAATTGTTCAAATGTGTGAGCCAAATCCATCTGCATGCATCCGTAGCCCTTGTTCAACAGACAAAAGCTAAATTGTTCTTTGTTTAGAATTAATGTTGCAAGTTTAATTAAATTGGGCTTTTCTAAGATTCGTCAATTTCTTTTACAAAAGTGTGCAATTTTACAAAAGCGAGATTGATCAATCAACGGCAAACTGTTCCTCTGTTTCTTTGTGCTGCAACTAGTCCGCTCATTTTCAAAAAGATTTGTTAAAAGAGAAGATAATGAAGCCACCAGCATATCCGCAAGGCGATTCTGAAAAAAATGAAATCTAAAATATGATTTCTCTAAAATTCAATCTCACATGTTCAGCTTTACTATTATGCTCTTATTGTACTATTTACAGTAATAGAGGATTTAAAACAAATGATAACAAATACTTTCTTTTCTTTTAAATTGACTCTCAGATTATGAAAGCAGGGTTAAAATTGGCAAATGGAACACGAGTGAGTATGTTACATAAGCCTTACATAAACCACTGTCTGCAATGTGTATCAGGGTGATTGACGATGTGCAGAAATTCCACATTTTTCATTCCTCTTTCTGTCAGTATCCGACCTCAATAACACAAAAAACTAAAACAACACCGCCTAACGTGATTCGATCACTTGGGCTTTGTCTCAGTATCACTGCAGCTCAGAGGTTTCTGTAGAGTTCTAATTATGGGTTTAATCTAAAGTACTGAGATGTGTTAGAAAGTTCTGACAGCTTCTGGCAGGGCTCCTCCTGATGTGCATTGCCTTTTCAGGTTGCCTGCAGACAGTCAGCCACAATGTGCTGCACTTTTAGCAATTTAAACTAACTTGAAGCATCATTTCTGGGTTTGACTTGTTTTCATGAGATTGCATTAACAGCATTTTGATATCGCACCATATTTACACATAAAATAGCTGAGTAAAAATTGCCTGTTTGGATAGAAATAATGACTTGTTCATTAATTCTCTGCTATTCTTAAAATTTAGCATGCCTTTTGCTAAGGAATGAGAATAATGTCAAGCTCAAAGGGGCATGAAGAGGCCTAACAAGCGCCTGCCTCTGACATTATGCTGCAGAAGAAATTTAATATGGTGTCAGACTAAAAACAGAAATATAGAAAATGAAGTCACAGCATGGCTTTAGG